CTAGACAGCATTCTAAAAAGCAGAGACATCACCCTGCCAACAAAAGTGCGTATAGTCAAGGCCATGGTTTTCCCAGTTGCAATGTATGGCTGTGAAAGCTGGACCATAAGGAAGGCTGAGCGCCAAAGGATTGAGGCCTTTGAATTGTGGTGCTGGAGGAGACTCCTGCAAGTCCCTTGGACCGCAAGGTGATCAAACTGGTCAGTCCTAGAGGAGATCAACCCTGACTGCTCTTTAGAAGGCCGGATCCTGAAGATGAAACTCAAATACTTTGGCCACCTAATGAGAAGGAAGGAGTCCCTGGAGAAGGGCCTGTTGCTGGGAACAATTGACGGCAAAAGACGAAGGGGATGGCAGAGGATGAGGTGGCTGGATGGGGTCACTGAAGCAGCCGGTGTGAGCTTGGGGGGACTCCGGGGGATGGTGGAGGACAGGAAGGCCTGGAGGAGTGTTGTCCATGGGGTCGTGATGGGTCAGACACGACTTCGCGACTAACAACAGCAACAACCTACCTTGCAGACTTCTTGTTGAGGTAAAATAGAGTTACCCTAGCTGTGTTGCCCACATGGAGGGAAAGGAAGCAATTAAGATCTCTGCTGTCTTAAACATGGGCTAGCATATTCACTAGCCATTCTCGGGCCACTTCTGTCCCTTCGTGCACCACCTCAAGGCACAAAATCATTGCAAGCATCGTCTTTGCTAATCCCTCATTACTGTTTGCCTCCACCCTAATTTGTCTCCACTAATGGTTTGTCAGTCCCTGACCTGTTACACCTGTCTTGTCCAATCCAGACTGTAAGCCCTCTGGTAAGGGGTTGTCACTTCTGTTTTCTGTGCCCATACCAGTGTTGGTGTGATGTGAGTGATAAACTCTAAATACATCTATCTGGCTTCTAATCTGATATTAGCACCTTACATCCCTTTTTTCTGGCCTAAATAGCAAAGATCTCTTCCATAACCTTAGATTAAGCAGGCTTTTGACCAACTTAAGCAATAGAAAATAGCCAGTAGTTGAGTTTTAGGCCTAGGTTTTTAGACACTTTAAGCTTAACCCTCTCTTTGCAAAGTGCTCTCAGTGTGTCGTTTTGTCCTGTTTCGTGTAAAAATACAGTAATCAGCTCTTTCTTAGTGGAGGTGGACAGCTGAATTGCATATTAAAATAATCTGTTAGTCTGAGTAGACATGGGAGTTTAATGTAAGGATTTTGACCTTCATTTTGAGGTAGGAACATCTCAAAGTAACCTACAAACAGGCGTGGTTAAGGTACCAGTTGTTGAACTCTGACACATCATATTTTTAAGGGAATTACAGGATCTGAAACAGTTGGGTCGCTTCTAGTTTTCGTGCTCTAATTCAGGAGGAGAATATGGCTTAAAAGCACGGCCGTTGTCAGAATGTGCAGCGGCGGGCCCTAGCTCTGTAACAGAAATCTGGGGTTTGGGTTCTTACAAAGGAGGCATAAGCCAACCAGGAGTGTAAGCATCCTGAGAGGTGGAAGTTGTAGAAGCCTGGGGCCAGGAAGGAAGCGTGGTGCCTTTCCATGTTTCACCTTTTATTAGTCTGATCACAGACAGGTCCACACTCCCCGGAAAGCTGAGGGGAGTGGGGAGGGGAACGTACCACTTCGTATCGCTGCTGAGGGACTCCGAGGCGAAGTAACACTGACACTGGCGCGTTCGTGGAATAGTTTAAGTAGAAGCGGTTATGTCCAAAAATGACTGGCGCAAAGGCTGAAGAGAAGGTCGGCAAAGTGGCGGAGTGTATGAAGCTGCCTTTGGACCGTTTGATCCAGCACTGCTTGGACGAAAGCGCTCCTGTGCCTCAGCCAGAGGCGGTCCCATCGCCTGCTCCCTGATCCTTTTTCATGGGTGACGGCAGGGGACGGAGCCTGGCCCCTTCGTGATGCCGGCACATGCTCCTCCAGGAGTCTTGGCAGTCTTGGAAGACCGAGTGCAGGAATGCTTTTTGTAGGCGGAGCAGGTTGACAGGTGCCTTGTCTGTGCTGCACAAAGCAGGGGCGTGTAAAAGTGGATTAAATTCCTTCAGAGTGCGACACTGGCCAGAGCATATTTTTCGGGTACGTGGGCATGGCAGGGTCTGCATCTTCCCAGGGTCAAGTATCCACAGGACTTGGAATCGCTTTAAGACCAAGCTCGACTTCCCTAAGGGATGCTTCGACTTGGCCAACTTTTCTCTGTAGCTCTTGAGGTCTTTCTCCCTTGCTCAATCCAGACAAGACAGAGGTCCTGTTGGTGGGTGTCTCGGGCTTTGGGATGGGGGACCTGGACCTTGTCCTGAACGGGGTTGCACTCCCTCTTAGGGACAGCGTTCGCAGCTTGGGAGTGCTCCTCGACCCAGAGCTGTCATTAGAAGCTCAGGTGACGACGGTGGCGAGGAGTGCTTTCCTTCAGCTTCGGCTGGTCCATCAGCTGCGTCCCTACCTGGAGAACGACTGCCTGGCAACAGTAACCCACGCACTGGTAACTTCCCGATTAGACTTCTGTAACGCGCTCTACGTGGGGCTGCCCTTGAAGACGGTCCGGATACTTCAATTGGTGCAAAACAGCTGCCAGTTTGCTGACGGGGACTGGGCGTTGTTCTCATATAACCCCAGTCCTCCGCCAGCTTCACTGGCTTCCCATTGAAGTCTGGACTCAATTCAAGGTGTTGGTTATGGCTATAAAGCCCACAACAGCTTGGGACCTGGTTATCTAAAGGAGCGCTTGCATCCATATATGCCCTCCCGCCCCTTGAGATCAGCAGCAGAGGCCCTTCTCCGGGAACCCTCCATGAAAGATATTAGGAGGGTGAGTACCCAGAGGAGGGCCTTCTCTGTGGTGGTGCCCCACTTGTGGAATGCACTCCCCAGAGAGGTCCACCTGGCGCCATCGTTATTTGTTTTTCGGCGCCAGGCCAAGACCTTTTTATTTAAAAGTTATTTTAATTGTTAATTTATTGATTGTATTTACTGGGTTTTTATGTACGTGCCGAGATGTTTCCAGATTTTTAAGGCTAATTATATAATTGTTTATTTATGTTGGAAGCCACTCCGAGGCTTTTTGCGAAAGGGCGGCATAGAAACAGTTTAAATAAATAGAATAAATAGCCTGTTGGCACCATTAGATCAGGAAGTCAAAATAGTAACACCTGAATTTGACATTTTGACCATCTCCATGGCAACAGTCTTGTCAGATGTGATTAACCTGCTGGATTTGAGTGAAGCGGCTGTGAGGGAGTTGGAGGAACTAGTAGAGAAAGTAGGTTTTGTTAAAATTGGGCTTTAAAGAATAACAATTACTACTGCTTCAGTGTTGGGTATCTTTAGTCATGTTCTAGCCCTCAAGCATTCTTGGTTGCCTTTCCAATGTCAAGAAGACCCGATAACAACATTATCACAAAAAGGCCAGTGCAATAAGCAAACAGGCAGTTGTGTTCCAGTCTTTCTCTGGAATTGTTAAATTGTGGGGAATAATAAGTGTGAAACATGGAGATACCTTAGTAAAGAAATAGGCCAAAGCGAGTGGGAAGATAATTAGTGGCAAATTCTTGATTGCACCGTACATAAGTTCTCCAATGCAAAATCCAGGAACCTTTGCTGTTTTGTTTAAACGAGATAAGTTTCTAGCCCTTGCAGGTGGTGGTGGAGTCGGGGGAAGCAGCCTGATTTGCTGGTGCTTTTAAGGGTCGGGGCTGCTTTGACACCGCCACGGCATGGCGAAACGCAGTTCATCTTTTGTTGGTGGGTGACTGACCTTCTGGCGGCCCTGACGTAGTTCAAAGAACAGATAAATGGTTTACGCTCCATGAGTGAAATCCAGTCCAGTTATTCTGCAAACGGAACAACTTGCATCCATGGAACCGTGGATTCTTCTCTGCGGCTCATCTCTACATGGTCACCAAATTTTCCCCAGATTGTTTGGGGACTCTCTGGAGCCAGGGCTAAAGCAGCCGAGGAAGACAATCCAGGTGGGAATGTGCCTGATGGCT